CCCCCCTTTTCATAAAATGTCAAAAAGGAAAAAAAAAAAAAAAAAAAAAAAAAAAAAAAAAAAAAAAAAAAAAAGAGAAGAGAACAGTTAGTTTCCTTTCAGTTGTAGGACATTGCAATACTTCTTTTAGTCTAGGTATAATACTCTATTATAGTATATATCGGGGTTAGACACAATACCATGAAAGTAAAAAATGACTTTGCAAAGAGATAAATATTGCTAATATCTTGTTTCTAATCAATTATATGTATATATATGCATCTTGTGAGAAGAAATCTATGCTATTGTATAGTGGGCACTTATGATTCACCTGTCCACTGGCAACAATAACAGGATCTGTCATTATTTCTAGTGTGATTGGACAGAGGAATTCGTGAGGGATCATCAAGGATGGAGATTTTGTCAGCATTTTAGGCATGACAGGGTCGTCAATAACATTTGTTTCTTCCATGCCTGCTATTTGTCTGAACTTGTTAAGGAGGTCAATAATTTGTTGAATACTCTCTGCATTTTGCCCTCCTTTTTCTCTATAGAGATTCCTCACAACTATTGTTTCTATCTTAAGGTCCTCAATAGAATGTAGATCAAGCTTTTTCCCAAGTCTTTCTATTATGGCTCTGTCAGCATTCCGGTCATCTTTTTTGGAGAATACCACCATCATATCCATTGCCAGTTCTATATCTTGTGTGTCTGTTCGCTTCCTTGCTCGTCTCAGTTGCATTGACATTAGCTCAATCTGGAAACCAAAGCAAAAGTTTTCTCAGTAAACAAACAATGGAATTGACTAATAATTCAAATATTCTGTTTGGAAAATAATCCATACATACGCATGATTAGATACATTTTTACAAAAATGGTTAAAAATTAGGTTACTGCCGTTTTGTTATTGCTATTTATCTGACGAGCAAAGGAAGATAAAATTGTTGGGAAGATAAAATTGTTGAATAGGCCTCGGGTAGAACACAATATTCTAATAGCTTAGCGATGTGGGACAAATTCACAATCCATACATACACATGATGCCATGTTAAATGGGCATTGAGTAGAACGCATCCCCAAAAACTAACTGGGAGTGGGTGGTAAATGACGTATAAACATCACAACAACCCAATAACTTATATTAAGAGTAGTTATATTTGCACCCTAAAATTCATTTATACCCCACCAATTAATTTTTCTCTAATAAAAATATGAAAAATCTATCCTTCTATTGATGTTATTTTTATAATACTTAATTTAACCCTCTCATACCCCACCTAATTTTAGTCTTCGTTTGATTTATAAAATAATATAATCTCTTTCAACTATTAATGTTTATTTTCTTTTTAAAAATATTGTAATTCCATTTACCTTTATTTATTATTTGTATTTTTCTTACCTCCTCCTCCTCCTCCTTCTTCTTTTCCTTTTTTTTTTTATGATATCCATTAAATAAGAACAACGCCTCCATCACACAAAAATTACTAGATGCGATTAAAAAAAAAAAAAAAAAAAAGAGAGGATTAACTAGACACCAATCCTCTTAGTAGAAAAGATAAAAGGCACAGAGCCACAAAATTATTCTTACTAAAATTTACCCGACACATAACAGTACAAGACAAATAAAAGACATTGGAAAAGAAATAAAAAACAAGCATAACAAAAAACACTCCAACAAGTGTTCTAAAACAAGGCAAAAAAGTTTATGGAAGTAGAAAACACTCTACATACAAAAAAGTTTATGGAGGTAGAAAACACTCTACATACTTCAGCATTTATTGGCGCTTCAAGAAACATGTTTTTTTTTCTTTTTCCAATTGGAACCTCCATTGAAAATTTTATAGTATTTAATGGAGAAAATTTTAGGATTTATGAAGATGAAATTAGCTTTAACAAAAAATGTAGGGGTATTTTTTTTTTTTTTTTGAAAATTACTTTCTAATTATAGTTGATGTGGGTGTATATAAAAAACAATTATATTTCCATTTAGTTTATGTAGGGGTATATTATAATGAGTTTTAATGTACTTTTAATACGGGATAAAATTATAATAACTATAAATTATAAATTGGTGGGGTATTAATGAATTTTTAGGATGCAAATATAATTAATCATAACTAAAATATATGGGATGAATTCACGATCCGACAAAAATATGACCTGTTCTTTAACTTCATCCGAGATCCCAAGCTCTTCGTACGAAAAATCATCCAACGCCTGAGAAATTTTGTCAAATATCGTATGAAATCTAACCATGATCGCTTCGCTTTCAAGTGCCTAGATTTTTTTTTTTTTTTTTTCCAAAAACAGGTGGTCAGTAAAAAGAAAATAATTATTTTGAGAAACACTATAATATTGACAAGTAGTAATAAATTATACCAGGTAAATCTTGCTTCCTTCATTACAAGTCTTCAACAATTTTCTTGCCATAACAAGCGCCTTCTTGAGATTACACAAGCAAGCTATATCCTTGTCCGGAATCGGCGAATCGAGATCTCGCAACTCGTCGAAAAGGGGCAACAAGAGCTTCATTCTTCTTACGAGGTTGTAACATTCCTTCCTTTGAGTCCTTCTGTAATCTCCGAAATGAGCCGCCATTTCCACCACGCTCACCAGTTCTTGAAGCACATTCGCATTCCAATTCGATTGAATATCATCCCCAGCTTCATGATTTTCTCTTCCCGTTCCTTCGTCGACTCTGATGATCTCTTGATCTAATTCTGCCATCACCATCAGGGGTTCCTTGATCTGGTACTTAGTAATCTGTAATTCCTTGATCAGTAGATTATCAGAGCGACGAGAGAATTAGGATAAACGTGTAGAGGAACTAAGAAACCCTAGCCCTAGTTTTCCATGGATTCTCTTTTGTTCTGGTGCTGTTTTGTGACGTTTCTTTCTGGTGGTGCATGCGTGGGATCAGAAAGCTTTTCGCGGGCTTTTCGTGTCTGCAAATTAATTAAGGAAAATAATTCATCAAGAAAATAATTAAGGAAAAACATTTTGCGGGGGATGGTGGGGCGCTTAAATTAGCTGGACAAACAAACTGTCTATTTTTTGAAAATCTGTTAATTCCTAACTAACTCCCCGTCTTGTCAAAGAAATAAGAGAGAGAGAGAGAGAGAGAGAGAGAGAGAGAAGAGTGGTTATTGGATTTTTATTGTACCGATGAGTTTTTTTTTTCTTTAATTGAAATTTGTTAAATGCATGTCAAAAATCATTAAAAAAAAAAAAAAAAAAAGTTAACATGCATTTGCACGTGCTCTTCCACTTTTGTACAACTTGATTTGTGAGTTCGTGTTTAAACTATTTGTGACAGACTGTCATTTTTCTTTAATTTGTGAAGACTAGCATATCAAAATTTCACAGTTTAAAATTTTTAATTTTTGTTTTCTTTTCTTTAACTTTGTTGCAAAGCGTAAGACTGAGTGGAAGTCTTCTTAGAAAAGATAAAAGTATGAGTGGAAATGGATTTATATACAGATGATGATGATGATGATGATGATTAAGGACCCTTGGAGGACAGAACATATAAAAACCCTTAATTATGTGCATCAATAATAATAAAAGAAAAACTCCTGACCTAAGTACGGCAAGCAAAACAAAACAAACTGCAGTGTTCAAATGAATAGTCAAAGAATTCAAATATGACAGATCATAAGAACATTTTTTTATTGGCTTCCTTTATTATAGTTTCTTCTTGAGTGATTCTTACACATCACAGCAGGTTTTAATGTATATTTTCTTTCTTTTTTGAAAGCAACAAGAGCATTTGTTGAGCCTCGAGAATTTGCTTCAACGGCTCTCTTATGGATTAATTGCGTTTGGTTGGTGTATTCGTGTCATGATTCGTAGTTCACTACAGTATTTTCTCACACACAAAAATACACGTAAATCGAAAATAATTCTGAATTTATGACAAACGTATAGTACGATTTAGGAGAGAGAGAGAGAGAGTTGTTAGTTAATATGAGTGGCTCAATTGTCAAAAATATGGGCGGCGCCAAAAGAGAACGTTAGAGAAGAAGAAGGAGAAGAGAGAGCACCGAAAACGGTGTTAACTTTAGAAGTTAAACCCAGTTGTTGGTTCACGCATAAAAGAGGGAGAGGCTATAAATACAAGCGTCTCTTTATTTGTTTTGCATCCTAAAAATTGAGAGCTTCTCCCCTTTATAAATTTGTAGAAAATTCTTTAGATTTCCAATTTGTGGGCTTTTGTAATTTTTGCCCAATTTGTAATCTTTCTTCTCTTTAATAAATAGAGTGGTCCACAGTGCCCAGAGACGTAGGTAATATTTGACTAAACTCCGTTATCAATTCTAGTGTTTTTTTATTTATTTTCAGTATTCAATAGTTATTTTGTTGGGTTTATTCGCTGTGTATAGTATTATTCTCTATACAGTTATAGTAACTCATGTGTACCTTATTATTTATATATACTGTTTACGGTGAAATTGTTTTTGAGTGAAAAATATCCGATTTTCCTAACAAGAGTCAATGATTTGTTCAAAGCAATTGTGGCTGACACTGCTAGAATCCCACTCCAGTTCTGTCGGCAAAATGTTCAGACTGTTAATTTCAAAGCACATAGAAAAGATTATTGAATATTATCTTATTATCTGCTGAAAAGAAAAGGAGAAGAGCAATCTGTAGGCTAATTACAAGATTATCCTGAAAAGTCACAATATATTGTACCATTTTTTGTTATGAAAGTGATATCGATAGATTTATACATACACATATTAGGTATTTTAATATAATGTCAATATATTCCCTTAAAAAAATCTTTTTTTTTTAATAGTAGAGTGCTCTCTTCCCAAATCATATGAAATTATATAGATCTCCAAGGTTCAGAATCCTTTTAGCAAAGAGGCCATATCATAAACAAAGCCGAAGAACTAATAATGGTAGGGACATTAATTTAAATTCCAATTATTGTATACTAATTGAGTGGGTATTTAAAATATGCTACGTCAATTAATGAAAGAGATTGCACCTACTAATAAAAAGATAACAACTCACGTAGCACATCAGTAGATACATAAAAATTGGGATTTAAATTGTTGTCCTTAACATTACTCATTCATACTATCATTTGATTGGTTCCTTCTGCAGATTGTCTAAAAATATATACCACTATAAAACAAAACTAAATTACAAGTAGTGATCAGATTAAAATGCGGCCACCCATTCCGGTCATTTGATAAGGTGATAGATAAGCCTATTCATTTCTCATGATAAGTTTTTGTGTTAAAATCAATCCTACCACGACGAATAATTTATTTCACAGGAGATTCATATACCACACTAGAATACTTTATCTTTTTAAATTATTTGGGTACATATTATCATCTATCCTTATAACTTTTTTCTTAAAATTTAAAATATCGACACTACGTACACCAAATTATATAACACAATCTTTAATATCATCAATATTTATAGTTATAACAAGAATTCCTAAACAAATAATAATAGGGTATTTTGCACATATACCCCCTGAATTTGTATGGTTTTAGGAACTTATTTTATAAATTTTTAATTTTGACATGTTAACTCTTAACTTTTAAAATTGTTACAATATGTTCCATTTTGATAATTGCTGTGTCAAATTAGTGTTGGAAAAACACGTTCAATGAAAATTTTTAACATTTTAATTTAAATATAACATAAATCTTTCAATTTCTCAACTTTTAGTCTCCTAAATCTAATAAAACATTTAAACAAATTTAATAAGTTTACAAGTTTGTGAAGCAATTATGCTAAAAACCCTTAATAATAAGTAGAATACCTTTCTTCTAGTGGAAAAAGTACACAGAATACCTTTAAAAAATAATAATAATAAGTAGAATAAAAGAATATCAAAATAGGAGCCTACATAAATTTGTTAAATACTATTAAAATTACATACGAAATGTTGATTTTGTTTAGGGAATTTCAAATGTTGAATTGTGCCGCTCTAATATTATTTATCAATTTGGATCATATTATAACGGATTAACAACTAATTTATAAAGTAAACTTTCAAAGTACGAAAATTTCAAGGAATAATATTCTGTAAGTGAAAAAAAAAAGAACAACGATATACAGTGTTAAAAACTTCTTAAAAAAGAAAAAGAAAAAAAGGGATTTTTATGGTGGAACTTCAAAAATTGCTCAATTAGTGAAGCAATGTTTTTTTACTCTTAGATTTCTTTTTCAACAGAATCTACGATAAGAACAGTTATGTGCGACACGCTGTAAATTTTTAATACAGAAATAGTGCTTCATCGATAGAATTGGGGTTCCACCATAAAAAATCCTAAAAAAAGAAAATTTCTCTAGTGTTCTTTATTTTTTAAAGATACTGGTGTCTCCATTTATTAATCGTTAAATCTATATTAAATCTAATAAAAAACTAATACATAATGTATTAAAATAAATTATAAAAATAATATAAATTTGACGTTTAATAAATAAAAATACCGACATTTTTAAAAGAGAAAGAACTCTAAAAAAAAAAAAAAAATTCAAAAAAAAAAACGCCCAAAAGAAGGCCAAAACTCCTAGGACCTACCCGTATGTGTTAGCCTGTAGGGCTCTTTTTATGTACGAAATTTTGAAAAAAAGCACAGCTGAGGTAACCGTTATGCGCGTACAGCAGAAGAAGGCGACTTTTCGATTCAGTGAAGATCGAACGGCCACGATTCACTAGCCGTTGTTTTTAAAATTTATTCGGACATATATCCGCCGTTTGCGTTTCAATCTCGCTCATACAGTTCTCTTCTGATTCCTTTACCTTTTAATTCTCTTTCTGTTCCTTCTTCCTCTGAAAACGTGAAAACCTAGTAGAAGAAAGAGAAAGAAAGAAGAAAATCACAAGACAAAATCAAATCACATCGCAGGGCAAGAGAGAGAAGTTAGAGAGAGATCGCTCCTGGTTTTTATGGAGTTTTTCTGATCGATCTCTCTCTAATCCGGTATTCGAAGATCCACGAAGAAAGGGAAAAACTCTAGTCTGGAAGAACTTTAATCCGGTATGTATTTTATCTTCCATTTCAAACTCAGGGCCTTTTCTTTTCTTGATTTGTTCTTTTTGGTGTTCTTTGGATTTTTATTTTTATTTTAAAGTTGAAAAATTGGTGGAATTTGAGTTCGATTCTTTGTGGAATTCGTGTTTCCAAGCGAATCTTATTTACTTGAGAGTTGATTCTGTTTGGTTGATAGGGAAAATGGCTGGATCGGACGAGAACAATCCGGGCGTTATTGGGCCGGCTAATGTACGAGGTGATTAATCAAGTGGATTAGATTTGGTGAATGAATGATGTTCATTCTCTTAGATTTGACCAATTTTTTGTTCGGATTTGTGTTAATTTTTGTTACTAAACCCTAATTTTGAGGCTTATCTTTTATCAAAAGGGGGATTGCCAGGGGGAAGTGGGAAATTCATGGTGGGCCCGGGTCAGAACCGGAGAGCTTTGAGCGATATCAACCACAACGTGATCGGAGCTCCTCCTTGTCCTTGCGCAGTCAACAAGAGAGGCTCTTCAGGGTAATTTCTGTACTGTTTGGTTTCTGAGGAAGTAGAGGAAAAGTAAAGAAAATTGAAGTTCCCGCATCCTGTAGCTTTTGTTTTTGAATAAATGATTGACTTAATCAAGTGGGTCTACGTCTAACAGTTATATTGCACACAACAGAACCAGCTTTTTTTTTTTTAACGTTTTTGTTTCTTTTGCCCCATTTTAAATTAGTTAAGTAGTAACATTGCTTCGATTTTAACTGGTTTTCCCACATTTTCCCAGAAACCAAACCGATAATCTTAACAAGGTTATTTGCCTTTCAACGCATGCTGTCAGTGATAAAAATCGACCCATACCAGTGAATCGACCAATTACTAGGTTAGAACTTATTTGCCATTTTCTTTTTCATACGCTTTTTGGATTTTAAATTTTTTTGTCTTGATTAGGATTTTTGGTTTTATTTTTGCTGTTGTTTAGGAAGTTTGCTGCCCAGCTGGCTAACAATCAACAACTGTTACAGAAGGTACCCATTTTTTGAATTAATAAGAAAAACTCCTATGCATAGAACTATATATAACAATATCGGTCAGGATGACTAATTGGTACATTGTCCTTAAAGGAGAACGAGATCACAAAGCCTGCCCAGTTGGTCTCAAATCCAAGGGAGTCTGAAGATTGTACCTTCATAGATGCTGAAGATTACAATGCAGATGGCGAATTTCCGGTGCCAATGTTTGTGCAACACACACAGTCAATACTGGAGGAGATTGATCAGATGGTAGTTGCTCTGACACCCCATTTTTATAGCAAATATGTACTGAATTTCGGCGTACATTAATATGTGTCTTCTTTTCCTGCAGGAGGAAGTAGAAATGAAAGATATGGCCGAAGAAGAGACTGCAGTTATAGACATAGACAGCTGTGACAAGAAGAATCCACTTGCAGTTGTGGAATACATTGATGATCTATATGCGTACTACAAGAAAATAGAGGTGAGAATCCCATGCCATAATTTCAAGCTTATACCTACCCAGAAAATCAAACTTAGAGCAGTCTAGTGGTTTTTGGTTGGTGGTTATGGTGTTTCTATGGAGAAGACATATTGAGCCCCTCTTTTTTTGGAGTATCATAAAAAAATGATTAATTTACTAGGCAAAGGACTTTTTTGTGTTCTAGGAAGATTTTGGAATCATGAATAGGAGCATTTAGGGTACTAAACTGTTCTATCCACGAATAGAGCCGAACTAAACTTTTGTTTTTATCCATCTCAGTCCTCCGGTTATGCCCCACCAAACTATATGGCAAACCAATCGGATATTAATGAGAAGATGAGAGGAATTCTGATTGACTGGCTGATAGAGGTACTCAAAAGTGTTATTTGCTGATGTGATTTGTGTCAAATGAACACCTATTTAGTGGAACTTTGTTGACAATTATATGGAAATTACAGGTCCACTACAAGTTTGAATTAATGGAGGAGACACTGTATCTTACTGTCAACCTCATTGATAGATTTTTAGCAGTTCAACAAGTGTTGAGGAAGAAACTTCAGCTGGTCGGGGTTACAGCCCTGCTTCTAGCCTGCAAATACGAAGAAGTTTCGGTTCCTGTTGTGGAGGATCTCATTGTGATTTCTGACAAGGCATATAGTAGAAAAGACATACTTGAGATGGTAAATTTTATATAATGAAGGAGAATTTGACACATAATGCATACTTGTGTTAACATGTAAATAGACTCGGGAACATTTGTGCATTCTGACAAGAAGGTTTGTGCATACTTAGGAGAAGCTAATGGTCAACACTCTGCAATTCAACTTATCAGTTCCCACGCCATTTGTGTTTATGAGAAGATTTCTCAAAGCTGCTCAGGCTGACAAGAAGGTTTGTGCATGTTTACTTGCATTGATAAAAATGTTTGGGTGAAAACTTTTTAACTATTCTAACTAGACCCTGGTGTATTTCTTTTTCTTACATTTGATGGATTCAGCTTGAGCTTCTATCATTCTTCATCATAGAGCTGTGCCTGGTGGAGTATCAAATGCTCATGTTTGCCCCTTCTCTATTAGCTGCTGCCGCAATTTACACAGCTCAATGTACTCTTTGTGGGTTTAAGCAGTGGAGCAAGACCAGTGAGTGGCACAGTGGCTATTCCAAGGAGCAGCTTCTGTAAGTGCCCATGTATCACCCCGAGTTTACATAGTTATTGTAGAACATGGTTTTGGCTTGAGCATGAAAGCTCGATTTTTGGTTTGCTGACTGCCGACCGGTGTGTGATTTGGTCTGTGCAGAGAATGCTCGAGGCTGATGGTTACTTTCCATCAGAAAGCTGGAACAGGAAAGCTCACAGGTGTTCACCGCAAGTACAACACATCTAGATTTGGATATGCTGCCAAAAATGAGGCTGCTGACTTTCTCTTGGAGGCCTGGAGAATGAAGAGAACAAATATTTGAAGAGATAAATGCGTCAACAACAATGAACTGACTTTTTAACTATGATGAAAATGGGGTTTTGGGTTGGGCGGGGGGTTAATTAAGCAACATAAGTTGCCCTTGGGGGTCGACATAACTATGCAATTGAGAGAATGCTTGGCTGATTTGATATTGCATCTCTCATAAGAGTCTCTCTCTCTTTTCTGAAAATGTTGGTTAATATGTTTCCTTTTCTCTATTATTTCTCCTTTCCAGAGGAAAAAATAAATGTTGTTTTTAGTTTGTGAACTTTGTTGAGTTTTAAAGTGTCATTTATTGATAATCCAAAGTTTAATAAACACAATTACTTCTTCTTCTTTAAAGTAAATAAAGGATTTTCTTTTTAACAAGTTCTTTTCATCAAGATTCAAGATGTTTTATGGATAAATAAAGGTTTGCATATTATGAAATAGTTGTATTCGTTCAGTAGAATTTGGATGACAACAGCCTATATAAAACAGCAGAATGAACGATATGTTGTTTATAATTAAACACAGAAAATGTCAAGATCAGACACGACAAGTAAACGACAACATTTTTGTAGTAATCTTGTGTAAAAATTTTTCTACGAGAACCATATTCCAAATTAATGAAAGAAAAGAGAAGATTAACCCAAAACCCTCAATGTTTTATGGAAAATATTTTACATGAAAATAGTCAGATTTTTTTGTTTAAAAAACCTTTATTTATTAGGGCTAATTTCATTTACGGAACTGTATATACTATTTCATTTTGGTCAGAAAGTTAAAAACTCAATGGAATAACTGTGTAACAAAATTGTTAAAAACTTCATAAAATAACTGTTGGTCCATTTGTTTTGCAAATTTGAATCACATTTCAAATTTTTTTATTATAGTATTTTCTCTCATGAAAAATTAAAATTATGTTTAAAATTTTTGTTTAAACTTATGAACTGAACTGATATGGCATAAAATTATTTATGCATAAATGAACAAAAATATAAAAAGTAAAAACAATGGACAGTGGACAAAAACTATGCTGTGTATACATGAGCTTCTTGTCTAACCAGACTTTGGGCGGAGTAAATTTCTTTAACTTCATAAGCATTATTTCTCTAAAATACTTTATATTAACTAGGCATACAAGGATCCCATGGTATATGATCGATTTCATTGAGGTTTTAATAATTTTGTAATACAATGGTTAAATGTGCGTCTTTTTGACAAATGGGACTTTATTTGTAACATTTTAATCTTCTGAGATCAAAACCAGATGAGAATCAAATTTCGGGGGAAATTTGATGATAGGATTTGAAAAAAAAAAAATGTATTATTAGTAGCTCTATGATTTTCAGCTACAAAATGTATATCATAAATTGTATATTATACATATTTTAAAAAAAATTATAATAAATAGCATTTTTATTAAATTAAATTAAGTAAATAATAAATTTTAAAATTTTAAAACTAAAAAATTTACTATTTATTTTAAATAATTTTAAAATCGGTTATTTTTTAAAATTATTTACCATAGATGTGTTATTTACTTCACTTTACCTTTTTAATTTAATGTTTAATTATTATGAGCGCCACCGTTAAGAGGCCTGGTCAATAGATGGACCCTATTTTCGGAGCCAAAATAAAAACTAAATCGTATTTCATTAACGAAAATAGTGGATGATATCTGAAAATAATTTGTTGGTTTTCGCTCTATATTTATTCATGAGTCATTTCGCTACCAAACGACCTTCCAACTTGCTAAAATATTAGAGTTCGTGAAGAAGTTGTCAAACGCGACCAAGTGGACCCCTCATGAATCTTCAATCAGGTTACCATGGAAACTTTCCTTCTTATATATTTTTGGTTTCTTTTCTTTTTTTCTTTCTTTCTTTTTTGTTGTTACCATAAATGAATACATCACCATCATCATCGTCATCATGGTGTCCTGGATTTGTCCTTTTTTTGTGATCTTTTTGGGTTTTTATTGAAGATCTTTTCTTTGGTCTTGTACCAGATAAGATTGTGGTGTTGGATTGACAGCGATTTCCCACTTGAGAAAGAGAAGTATCATTAGATATTTATGGTTCTAGTGGTTTCAGGTTTTCGTGTCAATTTTTGGGCTGTTAAGGCCTCAGCGTGTCTTCTTCTAGCAACTTCCGTTGGACACCGTTGTTTGAGCTGTCACCAAAATACAGATTTTAGATATTGCAATTGTTTCTGTTTATTTTTATTTTTATTTTTTAAATCTCTCTTTATAATGTGTTTTTTCTATAGATAAAGGAACTTGCTTTTTTTAGAATCCAACAAGGTTATTTTGTTTATTATTCTTTTTTTTTTTTATCAGAAAACCAACGTGGTGTATTTTAGGGAGTGAACTGAAAACTTAGGCTTGTTCTATAGTTAGAGAGGGGAAGATGATGGAGAAGAAAGAGAAAGAATTCTTAACGGTGGCACCATTTGAGTGTGCTTGGAGAAAGGATTTGAAGTTCAGAGAAGCAGGGCGTGGTTGTGTGGCTTTTGAGGCTTTTGCCCACAATGATGTGACTTTGGTGTTCAGAGAGAATGTGGGAAGCCAACATTACCATTACAAGAGAGACAACACTCCTCATTATACAGTTATATTGGGTAGTCATAGGAACAGAAGATTGAGAATTGAGGTGGATGGGAAGACTGTTGTGGATGTTGAAGGTGTTGGGTTGTGTTGCTCTTCTTCTTTTCAGAGTTATTGGATCAGTATCTATGATGGGTTGATCTGTATTGGTAAGGGAAGATACCCTTTTCAGAATATTGTTTTTCAATGGTTGGATTCAAACCCAAATTGTAGTGTTCGTTATGTGGGGCTTAGTAGCTGGGATAAGCATGTGGGATATAGGAATGTCAATGTGTTGCCTGTGATTCAAAACCATTTATCACTTTGGAAACATGTGGATTGTGGTGAATATATGAGTGAGGAGTGTGGAGGAGAAGAGCACTTGGATGATGGTGAGCAAATGGGGTATGAGAAATGGGGTCTTGAAAACTTTTTCGAGAGTTGGGAATTGTCTGATGTCTCGTTTCTTGTTGGTGTGGAGCAGAGGCCTGTTCCTGCACATAAGTTTATCTTGGCATCTTCTGGTAATTTTCCTTTGAGTTCATCACTGGCTGTTATAGAGCTTAACGGGGTGACTTATCCGGTTCTGCACTCACTTCTTGAATATATCTACACTGGCCGGACCCAGGTAATGGTTTTTACTAATTTTATTTTTTTATTTTTTTTATTTTTTTTTCCTGTTCACATGGATATAGGCATATGCACTATCTGAATGCCCTTATTTTGGTTTCTGTCTGTCTGTGTGTGTGTGTGTGTGTGTTTATAGAGTTTTTTATATGGATTATTGCGTGTTAGATAGAGGTTTTTGTTTTTTCTTATCATTTTTTTCTCTCAGATATCAAGTAATTTGCACTATCTGAATTCCTAAGAAACCCAAATACTACTTTAGTCAGACACAAGAATTTTAGGTTGTGTGTGTATTTGTATATTATTGCTTGTTAGGCAGAAAAAAAGTCGCTCATCATCGTCCTTGTGAAGCTATGATCTCAGAGGTTTAAAAGTTCTAGTAACTGTCATTTTCGTGATGTAGATTTCAGAATCCGAACTTGCTTCCCTGATGTTTCTGAGCTTGCAATTTGAAGTAATGGCGTTGGTAAAGCAATGCAAGGAGACCATAGAACAGCTTAAACTCAATGAGAAGGAGTCGTTTGACTCGGTTAAGAGTGTCGAATTATCATTTCCAATTTCAAGCTCTTCGCCACATTATTGTAGAGTCTTCCCCTTTGGGCTGCCTGTTGATAAGCAGAGGCTCAAACAACTGCATTCATCTTGCGAGTTCAGTGATGTAAACATATACGTTGATGGAGGTGGCCTTGTTTCCCAAGCACATAAGATTGTTCTCAGTTTATGGAGTGTCCCATTTGCGAAGGTGAGCTTATTATAAAATTTACTTATTTTGTATCTTTGATGTAGCATATAAAAATATGTTGTCTTAAGAAGAACTAATGTAGAAGAGGGGAAAATTACAAGATCTAATATTCAATTCTTGCATTCTTAGGAATTTTAAATTAACCCTTCCGAATTGTATCTTTATGAGGACTGCCTTTAAATACCTTATGTTGGTATCTTCGACCCTTATATGAGATTTTAGTTAAAAATTTTCATGAGGACTGCCTTGAAATACCTTATGTTACTTTTGTGAGTTGAAATAATAACTGAATAAAAATACTTGATATGCATCGCTAATATGAAATTGTTACTGGGGGCAGATGTTCACAAATGGAATGAGTGAAACCAATTCCTCGGAGGTTCTTCTAAGAGATGTATCCCCAGAAGCATTCAGGTCTATGTTGGACTTCATGTATAGTGGGGAGTTGAATTTGGAAGTTACTATGGAATCCGGTGCCTTGTTACTGCAACTTTTGTTATTGGCTGATCAATTTGGAGTCACTCTCCTTCATCAAGAATGCTGCAAAACGCTCTTAGAGTGGCTTTCTGAGGTAGTTTGGCAATCGTTATTATATTAATCCAGTTCAGCTCTTAGTTGTGAAATTATACTTTTGTTTGTTCTTTATACAGTATGCTTCTTGTATGATTAGAATTTAAAGAACGGAGAAGTGACTTGCGGTTTCGGACATCTGAAAACAAAAAGAAGAGAGATCCCATTTTTGTGATAATGAAATTATGAAATATTGATACGTATCATGTACATATTAAATGCAGGAATGGAGTTCTCCTATTGGAAGCAGGTCTCACTTCAAGATTTTTTTGTGTATTATGCACCAGTTTTATGGACGAGGAAGCAGACAGTTTTGGCAAAGTAATTGGACTGATGCTTTATAGGCTAACCTTTGAACTTTGTTGCAGGACACAGTATTTCCAATCCTCCAAGTGATTTCATCGGTTCGATCATGTAAACTTATCGAAGAAACATGCGAGAGGAACTTTTCCACGCACTTTGACTATTGCACAACTGCAAGCATTGACTTTGTCTTGTTAGATGAGACGTCTTTTAGCAATATCATTCGGGTAGGTTCCACTCGTTTCAATTTACCCGTAGCTTGAGGCTTAAGGTATAGCGATGTCAGATCATTTATAGAGATGCAAACCTTTACTATGGTAATGCAGCATCCGGATTTGACTGTAACATCTGAAGAAAAAGTTCTTGATGTGATCTTAATGTGGGGCATGAAAGCAAACGAAGTATGTGAGTGGGAGGTCGTGGATGAGCTGATGATGCGTTCCACGCCTGAGCTCCTCTTCGGGGAGAGACTGCAGTCGGTTCATGACATCTTATCTTTTGTCAGATATCCAATAATGCCACTTACCTTGCTTAAGAAGGTAATGATGCAGTGATATAACTGTTTGCTAGCTACATGCTAGAATCATGAACAGCACTTTTCTGACTTTAGCATGATCTTGCAGTTGGAGAAGAGCAACCTTAGCAGTCAAATTCCTGCTTTTGATTTGCTTGTGAGTTGAGCTTGCTTCTCTCTCTGTTCCCTTTTTTTTTTTTTTTTTTTGAAATGAAACTTTAATGCTTGTATGAATATTTTAGTGATTTCCTTCTTTCTCAATGTTACAGGTGAAGGATGCAATCAGCTTCATTGAAGGTGGATTGACAGGGGCAGAATTTGAGCAAAAGTAAGTATAGATATATTGCAACAGAACTTTAGTAGGATATGTTTGGAGAGGACTTACCTTAATATACTCCATTTGTAGCGTGAGATTCCAACATAGGAGATCTAGTTATAAGGAGTTGCAATACATATGCGACGGTGACAGTAACGGAGTTTTGTACTTTGCGGGCACATCATATGGAGAACATCAGTGGGTTAATCCTGTTCTTGCTAAGGTAGGTTCTCAATACTTTCCATATTTATTTCCTTCCAAAGCTCTTTATAGGGCAATAGATAATTTTCTAGAGAATTACAAAATTTCCCCATGTATTCATAAGAATGATAAAGGTCACGTGTTCAATTGCCAATCCCTTTAAAATTCTGGCCCTGGTGTGAGATTTGGTAAAAATTGGAGATGGGAGTCGCCTTCAAACAAGGTTAGGAACAGTTGTAGAGAAAAGGATTTATTTAGAAAGGCATGGCATATTGTCTAATTTTGGGACATCAAGTCAATTAGACGATGTCAAAGGATGGATTTTAATGGGATTGACAATCCCAAGAAATATACTTGTAATTTTTTAGGATATGGTTGTGGATATCGAATTTCATTTTTGAACTCACAGGGGAATTTCGTAACTTTTCCCTTTTTTAATACCTTTATATGTTTTTGTTTCAGACAATCACCATTACTGCTAGCAGCCCCCCTTCAAGATTCACCGACCCAAAGGTTTTGGCCTCAAGAACTTACCAGGTGTGATAAACCAAAATTTATAAAGCTATGATGGCATGAACATGTTTTAATGGTAAATGGGTTGTTAACGAACAATCAATCAATGGTCACTTCAGGGAACATCATTTGCTGGACCTCGGATAGAAGATGGACATAGCAGCACATGGTGGATGGTTGACATTGGTTCTAATCATCAGGTTTGTAAATCTAGAGAAAAAATTTACTTATCACTGTTGGTGATGCAATCACTACAGACAGCGCAATTTTACTTTCTGTCGTCACCATGCTTGTGATGCAATCACCATGAGGCGCAGTTCTACTTTTTGTCATCTGTCTGTTCTCGTTTATTGAGTACATGTGATGTTTGGGTTATGAATAACAATGCTTAAAACTAAAACTCGTCATTTAATAGAATTTTCACAGCATACACTGATCTAATGAGGTTCCTGATAAGCAAGCATTCTGATATACTGTTGCAGCTTATGTGCAACTACTACACCTTAAGGCAGGACGGATCCAGGGCTTACATTAGATCTTGGAGTCTCCAGGTAAAGATGACATATAAAAGCTTCCCATTCTTCTGCCTTTTTGCTTATTATTTATTTCCTTTGTGATGTTCATATTTGAAGGATGAGGTATTGACTGAATTTGCTTCCTGTTTTCAGGGATCTTTGGATGGGAAAACGTGGACAAATCTGAGTGTACATGAAAACGATCAAACGGTGTGCAAGCTGGGGCAGTTCGCGTCATGGCCCATTGTAGGACCAAATGCTCTGCGTCCGTTTAGATTCTTTAGGGCCCTTTTGACAGGTCCCACAACGGATATCTCCAATCCCTGCAACTTATGCATATGCTTCTTGGAGCTTTATGGCTACTTCCACTAGTTCTTTTATGTCCCTCCATAGCTTGATGTAACACATTTGCTGGGATATGTTACTCTGGACAAATTGAACTCTATCCAATGGAAAGAAATGGAATCATCTTTAAATTTAACTGTATCCAATGAAGATTATTTCTTATATCGCCAAACTTTTACAACCCACCCACCTAAAAGAAGGAACAAATAAACAAACGAACTTTTGCCCTCCTTGGGTAACGCAATGGACCAAGATGCTGGATGGTCATTATTTGTAGTCAATGATCCATTTTCACTTTCTTTTGAGCGTTTAAAGCTGAAAAAATAGATGATTAAATTGATTTAATCCAATATACGAAGCGCAAAATTTGTTCTGCCGATTGGAATTTGGAACAAACCTCAGAAAGAGTGTAAAGGAAGCCATTCTTCTCTAATTAAGCAAGAGCTTAGGTTCATAATAAACAGCAAGGAGAGAACCCGATAACATCAACAATATCATTAATAGAAACTACATGAAAAAGTCGAAATATTCGGCATCCAAAACAAGCATACAAAATAGAGAGCAGCCTGACAATATCCTCGATTTAATCCTGACTGCTTTTTCCTCTTGCAAGTTAACTACGCTAAACTTCACAGCAAATTTTGATGATAACAGACGGGATCCTTTGCGGAAAGCTTTACTCGGACGAGAGGATTATTACCTCCGTACAGGTGGTACAGCACCTCTACCAGCTGTTCCCCGGCCAGCAGCTTGTGCCTGCGCAAGGAGAACCATAACAGTCAGGTCAACTCCATAAATGTGCGAATGCATATCATCAAGCTAGGGATTCAAGTCTTTGGTGGAAACATAAACGTGGAATTTGATATGTGTCTAGGCAGCAAGGCACCAGAATGTGTTGTACCCCTACTCTATCATGCATTACAACAGTCAAGCAATTTCATTTTGTTCTTTTGAACAATGCTATGGACAACCGAAAATAAAAAATAAAAAATAAAAAAAAATCAGAATCATGAAAATATGAAAACTTACTTTAGCCCGCATTGCAACAGCTCTTCCCCTTCCAACTCCGAGTGATGCCCCCTTACCCTTCAACAAGGGGAAGAAAAAAAAATTTTCGTTCAGCAAAAGATGATTAGAAACATCAAAAGATTTTCATAATATTAAAAAAAGAATCGATGTAATGATACCTTGATTCTAGCATCTAGACGCTTGAACATTGGGGCGTTCTTCAGCATGTCCGGTATAACCATAAACCTGTCAAAGATTCAATCATATTTCGTTTCATCAATCCCCAGTTTAGTTTAGCAGTAAAAGGTATATTAGTTAAATAGCTTACCTAACTTTGCTGCCTCGAATAAACACATGCTCAAGCTGCGAAACCCTCCCGTCCTGTGATTGAGTAAGAAAATAATGTTCAGAAGAAGAAGAAGAACAGAAACAGATGGACAGAAGTGTTATTTTTCCAAAGTAGTTAACTCAAGCTGAAAGATTGATTCCAAACATCCAAAAACTAAGCACCCAAAAGTGCCGTTTTCTTCCCGTCTACGCATTATGATTACTTGAGTACAGAGTAAACAAGAGAAACAAAATGCCAGGGGTAAGTCAAGACTTTAATTCGTATATAAACAATTGCACGCAACCCATAACAAGATAATTTTTGAATTCTCATCGAAATGGTTACACGAAATTTACATTGTAATACTCCACAATTATTACACAAAATATCATTCATAGACAAAGCCAAATTTGTGAGAAAGCCGTAGAATTGTCCACAAATTGCAACCCCGCTCATAAATTACCGAAAAATGTAAAACAGAAGCAATATAATTCACCACTGACGTGTATTTACAATGCTTCGGATTTAAGCAGTGAAGACTAATGTTCTAGGGCATTCTACTTTGCCCAGAAATGCGAAATCCAAAAATTCCGCATTCAACTTTCCTCACAGTTTCTTACAGCTTTTAACTACAGAATCGCCGCGTAAGAACATGAAAATCGAAAAATTCAGTGACGTACTACCCCTAGCCCTAGGGTTTTCAAGAAATTTCACGATTAAATCCCATCAGATCCATTAAATTTCGTCCAAAAACCAAGAGTCTAGGGTTTACGAAGATCGCAGGGAAAAAATCGGAAGCAAAGAGAAAACAAATATGAAAATGGAAAATGGAAAAGAACCTTGGCAGTGTAGGTGATGCTCTCGAGCTGGCAGTTCCAATTATCCTCGCACTCAACCATTCCTCCTCTGTAAAGCTCGCCGCTCTTCAGCTCCACCGTCACCACATGCCCCGCCGCCTCGTGAAGAAGCTTTACCGGTATTCCCAAACTCCTGCTCATGGTTTCTTCTTCTTCTTGTTCCTTCTTCTTCTTCTTCTTCAAAAACCCTAACCACAGAACCTAAACCTTGCAGAAATTTCAGGAACAATCCCGTGAACGCTGAATAAAGGAGTCGTCTTTGACGCTGGGGGTATTTTGGTCTTTTCATACCGACATTTGTTTTTTGCACTGCTGCATGTCGTTTAAACGGCTTCGAGTTTACAAAGCGATATGTCGCTCCTGAATTGCAACGACGGCGATTTGTGAGAAAAGAACAAGACGTCGTTTGTACTAAACGACAGCATGGTAATCTTCATAAAAACGACGGGTCATGTAAGAATTTATTGTTGTCAAAATATGAGAACAAAATGGCGTTTCTTGAATGAAACGATAGCAAAATTTGAGCAATCATCATCATTTCATTTTTAGGCCTAGTTCAGTTCGTTAATTCAAGTTTTCAATTCGAGCTGAAATGTGACTTTATTTGAAAGCTTTAAAATATAGTTGAAAAAGTTAAATGTGACTTTTTGTAAGAACTTTTAACTGTAATAAAACTTAAATTGAAAACTCAAATCGGTGAAATGAACGAGATCTTAAACTCTAACAAGATTAAGTTTTAAAATGCATGATATGTCGTTTGTAAGGAGCGCAATTTCATCAAACAAAAATGGCACGTCATTTGATATAAAAAGGCTTTTATATAGTTAAACGACAATAGACTGTAACACTAAACGTGAATGGTGTTTCATATTAAGGTTATCATTCTGACTTTTTTCAGGCGTAAACGAATGCTAACTTTAAAATTGAAAGTATGTCCTACTATACTCTAACGTCATGTCGTTCAAAAAGCAGATGACTCCTTGTTCGTTGCAGTAAAATTCTATATACAAGGATGTCTTTTTTGCAAATTAAACTGAAGGAAACCCCAAAAAAAAAAATAAATAAATAAATAACTACAGGAAACTTGCCAATTGAACGACATGTCATTTAATACAAATGACAAGAAAATGTTCACCTAGCAAATATATAACATGGTTGATGATAGAAATGGACAATCGGAAATATAGTAGGAAAACATCCATCAAGTTCTTTGCTTATCCTGAGAAATATGCACAAGTTTCAACCACAAAGAAACACAACGTGAGAAAGAAATTGTTAAATAGCACGGTAAGCCTATTTAAGCTTTCAATAAGCTCTTTGTCTGTCACGGAATAATAAAGAAACCGAAAAAAGAATCTAAATGGGAGTAACCTAAATCAAACAAAAAGGAACCTCATTGCGACATTACACAAGGAAACGACAACAAAACAGCATAAACTGAAAAGCATTAAGCGAAAAACGTCAGCAACAAGAAAGAAAATACTACAATGGCTTATGCCTTATAGTACCAACATAAAACTAAACCGTAGCAAAACGCACAACAAAAAAGAATATAAATAATGAGGACAACCTTAAAACGAAATGAACTTACCAAACGACGGTAAACGCAATGATCTAAAAACGACATTTGATGGGGCAACGACAGTTCAGTCCAAAAATGACATCAAATGGCAAAACAATAACAATCATAGGTACAATACTAACGTCCAAGTCCCAACGACGATAATCTATAAAAACGACGGCAACATGAAAAGGAATTAACCTCAAATGATATTTCATAATAGTATTTTTTTTACATCAACAACTCTACTTTTTACATCAACATAAGCTGCACGTGCAACAACACAACAAAGTAGTCTTCACTTGTTTAAATCTCTTACATATAGTACCAAATAAACAATCAGCACAACCCATTACATTATATATATGCATAGATACATACACTAAGTATATACATACATACATACATATATATCTATATATATTTATATATAGACACACATACATACTAAATAGAGCCAGTGAGAAGAGCCCTCACCCATTCCTCTTTCTCCTCATCAGGAAGACCAAAAAACATATTGACTGGCATTATTTTGACTAATGAGGCGGGTAGCTTTATGTCTTTCCACTACTGTAAGAGTGGGGATCTTCAATAATTCGTCATTGAGCCTGGTATATTATTCATTAATTTCTTGGAAAATGCCTCTAGTTAAACGATTAGTTGAGTCCCTGATTTCTTCAGTAACGACATGTGTCACTTCCTTAAATCCCACTCCAATGCGATTTCCAAAGCCAACATTACTAGGCTCTCTCCTTTGCTTCAAGATCATATTCGTTTTCTTCATTCCCACTGCTCTCATTACTGTCGTTTCCTTTGATACCATTATTAGCTAGTGTGATCTCAGCTGAGTTCTTCATAATTGCATTATCTTTACCAAAAACTATATGCATAACTCATCGCAAAATGGGAATGCTTTGTTTCCAAAACCCATTGCCTCTGCAAATGGTATAGCAAATAAGTTGATCAATAAAACAATAGATACTTAAGATCTATAAAAACAACAGAAAACTAAAATAACTACAAACATAGACTTCAATGCTAAAATTTGGCATTTGAAGTTTCCAATACTATTCTATATCTAAATTCTAATGTCAAATTCGTTAATCGGTATACTTGGTGCTAAATTTTATACCTAGTGTAACATGCGCCAAAGTTTAACATTTGATTGGTTATGAGATAATGTATTACTTTTAACTTAATAGATTTGTAAGACTTTAATGCAAAAAACAAATGTAACATTTAAAATCATTAAAGAATATATATATATATATATGTATGTATTTATGTATGAAGCAAATATACCTGTAAGTAAGCATCCCAGACCCCCTTCTCTGCAGTCACAATCTTCTTTTCGAGTCTCGAAGAAAACCACTACTCTGTCTAGTCAACATTTCATGGACAAAGTGAAACTTTGACACAAGTGTCTTGATTCTAGACTCGATCATGTCTTCAGTAGTTTGGTCAAATTCAGGAAACTTGGCTACCAATAATCTCCTAATAGCTTCCATATAACCCTGCCCAATAAAAGAATCTTCAACTTTGAATTTTCCTTTGTTGTATAACTCTACCACAGTCTGTATAAGCTTGGTGTCCTCTTCCTCAGTCCAAAACCGTTCAGTTTGTCTTGGTTCTTCACTTGTTAATGACTCCATCCTATTAAAAGGAAAAAAAAAAAACAAAACAAAACAAATAAATAAATAACAACAATGATAGAAACAGAATTGTACACAAATAAACACTACACTTTGAATATTATAACAAATTTAGCAAAATATTTGGCGGTTTTCACAAACCAAATCAAGAGAAATAAAGTAATTGAGACCATGAATTATGATCAAATAAAAAGCATAAACGAAAATATATATATATATATATATATTTGTGAATCTCACCTATCTTGGCTATGAGGCTCAAGATAATCAACAAAATGAATCTTCATAGACCAATTCTTGCCGTCGACAGATTGAAGATATTCCATGAGATTAGGACACTTGGCAATTCTCAGTTCTAGTAGGGAAGCCAGACGATGCATTCCTTCCGGTAGCGAGCAAAGCTTAGGGCATGCCCCGATTTCCATTTGCTGAAGGGATGCAGTTTTCGGTAGCCAAAAAGGCAATGATGTTAAGTTGGGACAACTTCCCAGACACAAGTACTGCAGAGTGTTTTGACATCCTTCAAGCCATCTGGGGAGAGCCCTCATCTTTGGTAAGTCCATGAAAATCAATTTTTGCAGGCTCAACCGTTTGACTTTCTCATCTTGGTCGTCGAACAATGCCAAGTTTTCGCAATAGCTAATCACGAGTGTCTCCAACGCAGTTAGGCATCCCATGATCCTATCAGACAAGTAACTGAGCTTGTTACAACTCACAATCATCAGTGTCCGGAGAGAAGTCAAACATTCTATGCCATTCTCAGGAAAACACATCTCCTTTGTGGTTATCGACAGAAACATGAGGCTACTCAAGTTCCCTATGTTTTTTGGAAGTTTCTCCAAGTTGGAACATCCTTGAAGTTGTAGAATTTGCAGGCTTTGCAGCTTGGTGATGGAATCAGGCAGATTGACAAGTTTGCGATTATGAGACAAGTTGAGATTCCTCAGTTGCTTCATTCTTCCAATGTAACTTGGAAATGTTTCAAAAGACGAATAACTCAAATCGAGCATTCGCAAGCACTCGTACTTCCAGAGGTATTTCTTGAAAAAGAAATCGCTCAAAGGCTCCGTTAGAAGGAATGGGAAAATAATGGTTCGAACACTATTTAGGTTGTCTAAGCAAGAAGGAATCTCATTCCCACTTAGTTGATTGACTGATAAATGTCGAACTCGGTTACAAATGTCACTTTCAGGAGAGTTTATTATCCAACACTCACTTTGAGCCACAAGTTGTGCAAACTCATGAATGAGCTCATGCATAGAAAATGAGTAATACCAACCTTGTTTCTTCACATATTGAAAGAAAGATCTTGAACATAATTCCTTGAAATATTGATGCCCAATATCTTCCAAACTTCTGTATTCATTTCGTTTCGGTATGAGGACTCCATGTGCCATCCAAAGTTGAATCAGTTCCAAACTGAAGATCTCCTTGCCTTTAGGGAAAAGTGAGCAATAAAGAAAACACCTCTTTAAGTGAAATGGTAAATCACTATAGCTTAATAGTAATGCTGCAAAAATGCCTTTCCTATATGGCTCTGCTACCACTTCCCATAACTTGCTTTCACTTATGTACCTCCAATACTGAACGTCCTGATTCGAGTACAATAGGCTCCCTAAAGTTCTCACTACCAACGGAATCCCTTTGCACTTGTCGAGTATTTGCCTACCGATGTCCAGAAGATTCCGATTTTGTTCATGTCCTACTCCTTCCTTAAAAGCACATTTGAGAAAGAAATTCCAAGAATGCTCATCAGAAAGGCCTTCCAAGTTGTAAGGTGAAATTGTGCCCATACAGTCGCCAACGTTTGCGCTACGAGTGGTCACTATGATTTTACTTCCCTTGGAACCTCCTGTCAAAAGACTTCTCAACTCAATCCATCGGCTGCGGTCGCCATTCCAAACATCGTCCAAAACAAGCAAAAATCTTTTACCCTCTAAATTATCTCGCAGCTGAGTTTGCACCTGGTCAAAGGTTAAATTGTCATTTTTTTTACCCGTTGCTGAGTCAAGTATCTCTTTAATTAATCTCGGTACATCAAAATCCTTTGAGACATGAACCCACATCTTCAATTCGAAGTAGCAACGCACTCTTTTATGGTTGTAAACAAGCCGGGTAAGCGTAGTCTTTCCCACGCCTGGAATTCCATGAATAGGAATAACAGAGAGTTTTGGATGGATTTCATCATGATCATCACTTGCAGCATCTGTCAAAAGACTTATTATGTTCTTCTGATCAATGTCTCTGCCAATGACATCCGAAGGATCAACGAACGAGTGCACTTCCTTCCACTCATTCGTCAAACGCCTTTCTTCCTGTCTCGAATTGAGATCAAAGTTTTTCTTATCTGCTGCAATTTGGTCTAATCTCTCTCTTATGTCCTTAATAGCACGAGCAACACTGGCGCGGAAGACGAGTGGATTAGAGCGCGAGAAGAAACGACGTACCTTTCTACCAGTCCTGCCATGTTTCTTCACCGATTGTCTCCGCTGTTCCTCACAGTCGAATTCATCTAGTACATCCTCGGCGTCAAGAAACACATCTTTAAGCTGAGTGAGCCAGCTTGTTATCCTTTTGTCATGTGCCTGCTTCTCTTCGGCATCAAGGAGAACATCTTTGATGGTGGCCATGGTTTCTTTAAGCCTTTTTAGGTCGCCTTCCAACCCCAACGCCAAGCAAATCTGATGGTAGGAAATGGAGCTTAGCTTTTCTACCACAATTACTGCTACGCCATAAACAAATTCAGCCATGTTCTGCAAAATTATCTCTCTCTCTCTCTCTCTCTCTGTGGAAATCAGATCAGGTGTATGCTAAGGAAAGAAATGACTCAATAATTTGTGCGCTTCAGCCAAACTCATGAAAATGAGAATGAAATGAAGTTTTTATTTTTATTTTTATTTTTATTTATCCATCGTGTCCTTGTTAAAGTTTTTGATTGGAGGAAATGGATTGTCTAGCTTTCCATTATCCTTTTGGTATAATTTATTAATTTTCATAAAAGTTCTTCAATCAAGTTATGCCTCCTCTTTCGTTATTCAAACATGCCATAAACACAATAATTGCAACGTATAATTCATTTTTAGAAATGAAATGAAAGTGACATGTAAAATCATACATATCGAGGATGCTTTGGATCACGCTGAGAATGAAGATTCAACTTTAATGAATGAATGACAAGGAGGAGAAAAGTAACAGTGGAAATCCACGACTATTGGCCTCAAATTCTATCATTGGTGAAATCCACTACTAGATTCTTCCATTGGCCTCAAATTTTATCATCTATTATTGTGCTATAGTTCTAGCACTTCTCAATTATTCCTATCTATACCACTTTTTTTATATGATTGGAAGGAACCCAATAGTCATTTCATACATTAATTTATAATAAAAAATATGCCGGTGTGAAAAGCTTAAGAAAGTATATACGTCAATTTTTAGTTATAGAAATTAATAAATTATAACTTGTCAAGTTATGTTTCATAACTAGATAAGTTATGGACAAATTTGTCAAGTTATAGTTCACAGCCAGACACGTTATGGACAAAAACCGTGAATTATGGACAATAACTTGTCAAGTTATAGTTTATAACTAAATAAGTTATGGATAAAAACAGTAATTTAGTCTATTTATTAACTTATGTAAAATATTAGCCTATTAATTTTAATTCATCTCAAGTCTTAACATATTTCTCTTTTTCTCCCTTAATTTAACATTGCACTAAATAGGCTCTGGCAACCAACAAACAAATTCATATCAGATTTATTGACCTCATTTTCTTGTTCCCCTTCTTTATTCTTTTGATAATTATTTATCATGTCGTATAAATATAACAACCTGACCATAAAATGTTGAAATATGACCAATTCACCTTGAATGTCACACTCGTTAGTTATGGTTTCAAAGGTAAAAGTAAAACCCATCATATATTCGCACTGTTTTCTCACTAAAAATCATCTTTTAGGTTACATACTTATTCTTAATTGCTTTTGAACATTCAATTCTTCATAATTACCGCTGTGTTGTGTCACGCGTTGTATGCTTCTGTGGTGGGCACATCTTGTGAATCCTAAACGAAATCTCAATTTTCAAGCCTAGGTAGGTGCCCCTCTTAGTGTTTAATTACAAATGATTGCAAGATAATACCAGCTTAGTTTTAGGGGTTGTTTCGTACGCGTATTTAAACTCAAATCATGATTCAATTTTTTTTTTTTATAAAAAAATTTAAATTAAAAAAATTGCCGCCAACAATTGTCTCACAGAGAATTTGAATTAAAACTCAAATCATAGTCCAAATACAATTCCCAAATAAACCACCCTTAGATTAATGTCTAGTTCTGGTTTCTAGCTTTCCAAAACACAAATTTAAAATAGGATTATTTTCACTGGTGTTCATTAAACTTTAAGGTCATTTTCAATTTATCTCTTGAACTTTAAAAACTCCCACTTTACCCCTTGAATTTTCAATTATTCTCACTTAACCCCTTTGTTGTAATTTTTGTTAAAATTAGATGGAAAAAGAAGGGGTTATATGTTTCTTTGTAACAAAAATCTAAACAGAAAAACTACGTGACTACGTTATTCTCTTTTTTTCTATAAGTTTTTAATAGAAATTGCAACAGAAAGAGTTAAATGGAAACAATTTAAAATTTAAGGAATAAAGTGAGAATTTTTAAAATTTAAGAGGTAAATTAAAAATGACCTTAAAGTTCAAGAGTCATTAGTGATAATAATTCTTTAAAATAAGATGAATATTCGGACAATCGTGTAGAGAAAAAACTATCATTATCCGAAGCCTTCATTTGGAGTTAGGGTGTTAACTAAGGATGGGTGAAAGTGAAACTAACAAATAATGCAAACTATTTTTCCTTATTTCCAAACCGCTATGGCTTAATTCATACGTATTTCTCACAAATAGTAATTATTTTGACAGATGAAATGGAATTGAACAGTTAAAGCTCTCTATATGACTCTGGAAAAAAATAAGTCATAAGGAAGATTCGAGAAGTATAGATTTCTATTGTAAATTTGAAGAAGCCAGAACATGTACAATGGATTGAGGCATTTTTAGTTATTGTTTAGGTCACGTTTAGTTTATAAGTTCAAAACTATAATTTATTATTTTAATTTTTTAAATTTAGATTTTTTACGAGAGAAAAACGTAATCCTAAACCACCTTAAAGTTTTTAACAGTATTCGAAAACAACAAAAGCATAAAAACAGTAACAACCTAAAACAAACGACAATGGATTTCCATACGACATTACATAAGAAGAAACGACAACAAAAAGCGATATAAGCTGAAAAACAATACCATACTAAAAACCACACAAGTATAAAAACTACAATAACCAGAAAGACGGTACAACTATTTTTGATAATAATAAGAAAAACAATCATAAGTTAAGTAGAGCCGGCCCAAGGTTATTGCTTAGGTGAAATTTTAAGTAGGCCTTTCAAATAATTACATGCATATGTTATCATAAGCCTTTTAAATAGAGGAATCACTTATCACATATGTTTTTTCTATGTCATGTGAGACTTAGTTAACGGACGCGTTTGGAATTCATTTTAAAATAATTTTATTTTTTATATGAAAATAAAAATGAAAACATTTTCAATCTCAGGCATAAATTATTTTTAAAAATACGTTTGGTAGTTTTATCAAGAGATTATTTTCAGTGTAATATAACTCATTAATGTCTCTCTCTGCTCGAGAGAGGAGAAAACGAAAACAAAAAATAAAAAATGACTAAAAATCATTTTTTATTTTTATTTTATTTTACACTAAACTAAAAAATCATTTTCATTTCTGTTTTTGTCTTTATTGCGCTAAACGCCGTTTTAAAAATATTTTCATTTTTTTCTCAAAAAATGTGAAAAATAAAAATAGATCAATTCCAAACACGACCAATGTTTTTAGTTTTTAAAAATTTAAAAAGAAAATGAAAGGGACAAGAGAACACAAAACAATATTGAACATGGATAGATAGTATGCCTACAGCCGCGGCTAAGATTTTGAAGTTTTAATTGTTTGTGCTTTTTCATCACTAATTTACTACCGTCATCGACAAGAATGACCACATTGCAACAACGTAGTAAGTTTGGGAAGGAGAACAAATTATCAGAATTAAAAGTTTATGGGAAAATTGCTCGAGCCTGAAAAATTGAAGAAGTAAGTTGCTAAATGTGTTAGTAGTTATTAATTATGCTTGCATCTCTTCTAAAAATTTCTAAAAAAATTTAAACATCTCCCTTTAAAAAAAAAAGAGTAAATGTTAAACATTAATATTAAGAAATAAGATTTGTTTTTTAGAAAAAAAAAAAAAAAAAAAAAAAAAAAAACGGT